CTGTACATCTTCGCCCGGCCACACCAAAAAAACATGGAAACGTAGACACAAATAGATCAGCAGCATTTTACTGGAAGAACCTCAGGCCTCGGCCTTACTTCCCAGCTGTGATTGAAGCAGGCAGAGACTGAATTACGCCCACTGAATCAGAAGGAACCACAAAAGCCTATTTGTGGCTGGCTCGTGGTTCAGCTTCAGCCGCAGACATCACAACTTCTCGGGCCGTCCACAGTGGGTTTCTCTGCAGCTGAACATCTCAGACTCACTTTAAATATTTGTCAACATAGAGTTTTAGTTTCAGGCAGCTGCTAGACACTCAAGGGTTTTCACATTTCTGCCCCCCCAAAAAAGGGGGAATAAATACTGAGATAAATTCAGCTGAAAGCAGACTGCTCTGAGCTGCAGGTGTGTTCTGGTCTGCAACAAGTATACTCCAGCAGTGGCTTAAAGGATCAGTTCACCCAAATTACTTAAAAGCATATATTCCCCATTCTAGTTTGAAACTCCTGTTTACACTCGCACATGCATGCCCAGTGTACGCCAGCAGTCACATGGTATGCACACCAGTGTTAATTTTGACAGCGATTTTAGATTTAGTCTTAAGAAGAAAATGCTTATTAGTTTTAGTCACATTTTAGTCACTTTTATCCTTCATAGTATGAGTCGACGAAAAATCAAAATGTTCAGTCAACGAAAATTAATGACATTTTAGTCAATACTTTTAGTCAGTATATATATTTTTTTATTCTTCAAACTAACCCAGTCAGGCTAATTAATATATCAGAAATTAGAATCAAGGTGACAGGTTGTATAAACATTTCATGCAGACACATTTTTCTACATATACAAATAATTTCTGAACACTTACAAACTGTTAAGAAGCAGAAAAATTACTTAATTAAAGCTTGAATTCTTTCTTAATCTGCAACATGACAGTCTGGAGGTTTAAACTCATGTCTGACAGAGCTGGTGATTAAAATTAAACTTTTATCTCTGTCAGACATAAGAGTTCAGACTGTTAACTTACAGCAAAGCTACACTCACAGATAACTGAGTGTCCTACCTGCCTGTCAAACAGCATCAACCCATAAACCTTCCTGAGACAGTCCAGACTGAATGGAGTCCCACGGGGATCAGTTGTGAAGTCCACTGGCCAGTGGCTGCTTGCTCTGCTGCCATTAAGTGGCTAACAAGCGGAGCTAACTGCTAACAGCCACCACTCCAACTGACAAACTACACAAATCCATTCAGTCTTTCAATGTTCGATAGTCCATCATGAACATTTTCGTCACATCTCCTCAACAAAAATAAAGCATGGATTTTTGTCTTAGGTTTATTTATTAGGATCTATTTTTAGCTCGTCATCGTTTCCTTTTCGGCATGGAAAAAGATAGATGATGAAAAATTTTCATTTTAGGTTTCAACATTAACACAGACGGCACCAAATACAGCATGTGGTTACGCTGCAGCCTGTTTCGTGGCTGCCAGCTGCAGCGCTATTAATCACTTAAGACACAAAAATATGGGAAAACAGGGTCCTGGGTTGAAAAATACCAGAGTTTCCCTTCAGTTAGTTGCTTCCTCTGAGCAATGTGTCCTACATGAAAGCAAAACAATCTGCCAAATTCCAAAGCTAGTTTTGGTTATTTCATATGGGAAGTTTTGATATTTATGTTTTTTCCTCTGCTCCTCTTACAGGTTTGAAGCTGGAAGAAAAACAGGTGATGTTGGGTTTGAGTTTTTGAATGAAGAACACTTTTTTGGTCTAAAATTTGAACTTGCTGATTTCATTACGAATATTTAACATTCTAGAAAAATATTTTTTTGGAAGTATTGGAGAGCAAGTTTTCAGGGCTTTAAGACGTTTCCATCAGGACTATTTCTTTGGTAGAAAGCAGTTCAACAGGATTATCCACACAAACCAGGACTGTTTCTGGAACATTCTGAATGTAATTATTCAATGAAAGACCAAAACTATCTGCAAGACTAAAAACCCCATGGGTTAAGTGGGTGTTTTGTACCTTTAGTGAACCAATGCTTTAACTGGAGCTACCATATTTCATTGTGTACCACCTGCCACTGCATTAATGTTAAATTTGATGCAAATGTTCAAGTTAACACACTGGATCACTCATACCCAGTGAAACCAGAGATGTGAATGCTCGTCGTTGTCCAGTGTGTGAGTAATATTCACAGAATAGTCTCTAGAAGCAGTCGTTGTGTGTGATGTAATAAAAAGCCTTAAAAATATGTCAAGATCAATGAGGTCAGGTCTAAAAAAGGACACAGCTCTCGTCCCTTAAACTGCAGTCTGAATCACATCACAGTAAAAGCCTGTATTCCTGGCACATCTCAGCTGAGCCAAGACTGGGAAATACAGTACGTACACGTCTGTACAGTCGAGTGTTGTTATCAGCTGGGCAGCTTCTCAACTTTGGGCACTGTTCCTCCTTGTCACTGCTCCCTCCTCCAGGCTCATAATGTCTCCCCTCACCACAGTCAAAGGGATTAGACAGAGAAAGAGGGTCTTTTCTTCTGGCTGCTAACTCGCAACAATCAGCACAACCACTTGTTATTCTGCTCAGAATCCAGGGAGTTGGAAATAAGGGAATACTTTCAAGTAATGTGGAACGTTGCAAGCAAACTGGAGCTTTTTCTTCCCTGAGAAAAATCTATTTTTGCACCGACCCAGCTGCAATCTATCTAAAATATTCCACAGATGCTTCTGGTGCAACACAACACCATCAATCACATGCAAGTACAGTGTTTAGGAGACTGCCCCTGACTGTCTCATGAGCTAAAGATGTGAGAAAGACAAACAGTCTTAAATCAACTGCATAATTGAGGCCTTTGTTGTGTGCGACCCATGTGGGCGAATGTTGGTTTTGGAGCTCGACAAAATGAGGTGACGAAGAAAGCAGGAATTAAAGCGATGTGTCAGTTGGTTTCCATCTTTAAGGCAGGATGAAAATGGGCGTACATGCCCTCTGCTTTCTTATCGCGCAAGAAAACAAAGACGAGGAGGAGCTGAAGGAAAAGGAAACTCGTTAATCTCTGTTATTTAGGAAATGCATTGCTCTGGAAGAATCTGTGACTTTTTATGTCAAAAATATCAACTATAATCATTGGATGACTCTGGTTGCCTTATGTGACACAAAAACCTTACAACATTAGACCCAAATCGAGAGTTGCCGTGGGATCGTCCTGACCTTGACTCATCAGCTCCCACTTTTGTTTTTCTTCCTTTACGACTTTAGTTTGGCTGACACAAGCGCCAACATCAGCCAAAGCCTCAGTCACTGCCGCGATAATTTTGGTTTTCCCTGTCTCTCCTCGGTGGGCAGAAAATTTATGATAAGGGGGAAATGGGCAGAGGTCCACACGCCACATTACGCTGGCACCGCACTGTGTCCGTGACACCCAGAGAGGATTGTGGGAAAGGTGTTATCAGGAGTCAAGGGAGTGTTGATCACACGTGACTAAGCACGACACCTCAGTGTGGAAAGTCACGCTGAGCCCTGTTAGTTGACCTTGTGAGTGTTTTTCTGAGAAATGTTCCACCCTGTACCATCATCATCACCATATTCACTTTCTCCAATGTTGCAATGCATTTTAATTTCTCCTAGCTATTTGGGATCAGTAGGACCTGATAAGTGTAAAAAACGAAACACTGTCAATGATAAATACATCCCAATGTCCTTCAATGAGTTCATCCATAACATTTGATCATTCACTTTTCATAGTAATACCTTCTTATCCTCTTATGTGTGTTTATCCTATATATTTTTTATCATGTATGATCTTCTTTTTTTCTCTACTTTTTTTTTTTTCTAATGTATACTTGTATGTAACATGCTATATAAATTAACTTGACTTGCCACATTGCCAATGAGAACATACCAGCTGCTTATTCACACATCCAGCAGATATGGAGCAACATTAGCATTCATCCACCCGACGAACACAAGTCCAATATTTACCCTATTTTAGCTCTGTTTTGGTCTCCACCAACTCCTGAGAGCAAAATCTGGCTCTAAATGCACCATTGTGTTTATCAGATAGTTGTTACATTTGTCTTGTTTGGTAGGATAGGATTTTTCACTGGTGCACCTGGCAATGACGCTGATGAGAGCAGTGAGAATGAACCAACACAGCCCGGAATATCGAAGCAATGAGCTAAACTCTGCTGAAATGCTCTGCAAAGCTGAGAGGAACTGCAGAGCTGGGTGATAATTCTCTGTGGGGTCACTGTGAGCAACCCTTTTCATGTTCTCCCAGTCATGTGATCGATTGTTAATATAAAAACACAGCCTACAGCAGCTTTAAGTACAACTTTTAAGTGTTTAATCAGTCAGTCTTTGCTCAAGTTCTCTGGGGTTGTTTTGGTGTGTCAGGATGTTTATGTAACCAGAAGAAATGTGACTACTTCACCATAATCACTACAATGACAAGAGCTCTCAAAACTTGGCCAGCACAGCAGGCCACAGGACAAACAATGTGCTGCATATCGGCTTAGGGCTTTCCTCCATGACAGGGATCCTGCACTAAAGAAAAGCCCGTAGAAAAGACGTATTATCTCAAAATTCTCTGCCTGTTTTTACAGTTACACCTCAGTCTGCTGCTGAACTGCGCAAAGTGCTTGTCATTCACTTTCCTCACCCACGTTTTCCTGAACTCCTACCAGCCTTAAAAGTAAACATCCACCTTCACATACTCTTATAACAGCAGTTGCATTATTTTTGATGACATGCTGTAATTTAGTCTTTTGCAACCAGCCTGTGCACTTCCGAGAATGCCTTTGGGAAACCACGCATGACCTTGGTGCATAAAGCTGCTGCAGACTGTTGCTTCACCAGCACTGTTTTCTGTTTTAGATTGATTCAATCAATTCAATTGTGTTTCAACAAATGTTAACAGAAATACATTTTGTTAAGTCATTTAGGATGAGTGAATGTGGCTTGAAGGGGTAAACTGCTGTGGGAAGTGAAGCTGGGACTCACCGTCAGTGCAGATGAAGCACTTGCAGAGACAAACACAGAGACACAGGAGGAGGACCGCTGCCACACCGCACACTGAAAGGAGGATGACCATGGCCGGACCCACTGTAACACATACTTACATTTAAACACTGTTTATGTTTTATGACATCTGGACTAAATATGTTAGGTGATGTGGTCGGAGCATAAAGACTTTATGAGCAAAATAATCCCTATCATACGCCGCAACATTACAGGATTCAGGACCCCATCAAAGCAGCCACAGTTACCCGTGACTAAAATAGCTGAGAATACACACATGTGGAAAACAAAAGGCTTCTTTCTGCTGCACCTCAGCACCCAAAAGTTGGCAAATATAACTGGTTTCTACACAGTTTGGAAACGTTTCGAGACAGCATTGGTAGGTACTTTTACTTCTGGCCTTTTGCTCGTGCTGCTGCAACACATAATCTGAGCTCAGATATCATGAACAAAACACTATGAGTCCACTATAAGTCCACCTAGTTAATTGCAGGGTTTTTTTGTGGTTAAACTTAATTTCGCTTGCTTTGACAAGTTTTTATGTCTAAATTTCATCCATTAACAATTTTAAGTTGTTGTACTACAAAGAGCACCATTGCACCTATGCTGAGTGACATTTCCCTTACAATCTGTCTAAGAAATATTGCCTCATGGTTGTTTGCCACCACCAACCAGTGAAGTTGCAGTTTACATCCATGTCTGTCCAGAATCAGAATCATATGTAACCATGACAATCAACAATGTGTTGGACACCCAAGACTGGTGTCACCAATTTAGTGTTTAGTAGTTACAGCGTTGAACAACGGCCAAGAAAGTGTTTTCGCAGTTGACCTTTGACTTTTTGAATATAAAGTGTCATCACTTCATCCTAGCAGACATTTATGTGAAATTTTGCCATAATTAGTGTACAAATTATTGAGTTATGGTTAAAAACATGTTTTGTGAAGTCACAGGGACCTTTGACCAATAACACCTAATCAAGTCAAGGAGACATTTGTGCCAAATTTAAGGACACTCCCTCAAGGCTTTCTGGAGAAATTTCTTTCATGAGAATGAGACGCATGAAGATGCAAGGTCACAGTGACCTTGAACTTTGAACACCAAAATCCAATCACTTAATCATAGAGTCCAAGTGGAGGTTTGTGCCAAATTCGAAGAAAATCCATCAAGGTGTTCTTGGGTTATTGTGTTCACGAAAATGAGTGACCTTTGACCACCAAAATCTAATCAGTATGTTGTTGAGTCCAAGTGGACGTTTGTGCCAATTTAAGTAAATTCCCTCAAGGCAATCTTGGGACATTGTTTACACGAGAATGAGACTGACCAGGTCACAGTGACCTTTGACCACCGAAGTCTAATCAGTTCATTGTTACGTCAAAGTGGACGTTCATGCCAAATTTGAGGAAACTTCCTCAAGGCCTTTTGGAGAAATTGTTTTCATGAGAATGAGACGGATGCAAGGTCACAGTGACCGTGACCTTTGTCTACCAAATTCCAATCAGTTCATTGTTGAGTCCAAGTGGACATTCATGCCAAATTTGAGGAAATTCCCTCAAGGCGTTCTTGGGATATCGTGTTCACAAGACTGACCAGGTCACAGTGACCTTTGACCACCGAAATGTAATCAGTTCATGGTTGAGTCCAAGTTGACGTTCGTGCCAAATTTAAGGGAATTCCCTCAAGGCCTTCTGGAGATATTACTTTCATGAGAATGAGATGGACGCAAAGGTCACAAGGACCTTGGCTTTTCACCACCAAATTTGAATTAGTTTATCACTGAGTTCAAGTGGAGGTTTGTGCCAAATTTGAAGAAATTCCCTGAAGGCATTCTTGAGATATCGTGTTCACAAGAATGGGACGGACAGATGGACGGACTGATGGACAACCTCACTGGTGCAGGGGCATAAAAACTGTTCTTATTTCTCACATTCATTTCCAGCACACCTCCATTTAAACTTCAAGGTCAAGGTTCAACTACCAGGAAAATGTGGAAACACTTGTGTGCAGGGCCTTTACGATAAGGTTGTTGATCAGTGAGGTGGATTAGATTTCTAACTGAAGTACTATAATAAGACATGAGATGTACCAGTGTAGGTTAATTGGTCAATCACGAAAACCTGACAACATTTAATCCAATAAAAAAACACCCCACTGAAACAGGATCAAGGACTAAGCTCCTCACCGTTTTTGTTGAGGGACAGTGTCAGAGGTTTCTCCAGACCCGGGTGGTGCACAATGCACTTGACAGACAGGTCACTGAGCAGCCCTGATTGGAATACCAGCGTACTTGTCACTACGGTTGTGCCGTCACCCTGCTCGTAAGAGGTTGAAATGGGCGGTCCGAGTGTTCGGTTCTCCCCGCCAACGTTCCACATGATCTCTGCTGCAGGTCGGGACTGGGCGGTGCAGTTTGCCTCAGTGACTCCTGAGGATGAGGTCACATGGCTCACCTCTGGTTTGGGTAAAACTGGGGAGAGAAAGATTGTGTTTAGTGGCTGCTTGTAAATATGATTTACTTTTTTCTTCAGTAAATTGAGCAAACATTGTTTTTCTTTGTGACACTGTGGCAGCCGTTCTGTATTCTGTCTGAAGCTGCCAATCACAGACGACAGAAAGCAGAGTTCTATTCCTCTGCCTTTATAATGGAGATGGAGAGACAGAGCACATCGCCTGTCAATCTCTTTCCCCCGCGGACACAATGACACAAGTTGTCCTCCGATGGGCCGCCAGCGAACAGAGGCAGAGCAGCTTTTACTAACTCTGTGTGGTTGTGTCTGGATCTCCTGTCAGTTGAGACAAAGCTTGTTTAGCAGAGCAGGGAGAAGGACACACACTGAGGCCTTGTGTCTGGGGAAACAGTGAGCCACTCATCCCCCTGGGCTTTCTCCCAAATTAATCACCCCTCTCCCCTCAGTGACACCCCTCCCTCTGCAAACACTATCACTCCAAAAACACACACACATGGAGGAGGATCAGCAGCCACTCACACTCCTGGAACATTTGCTTACGACTTCTAAAAGTCGGAGAAAGGTTACGCTCTTTGTGGTTTACACCTCGCTGGCACAGTAGCCGCCTTGAGAGGGGAAAAGGAGTGTTGGCGAGGGACACGTCTTTTAATGACCCACTAGAAACTCTCACCTCGGGGTCTGTTTATACACGGCGCTTCCCTTTCCTGAGCTATGTCTGACACACACACAGTAGCACTCACTTCCTCTCAGCCTACAGTATATCTCCAAGTCAAGATCACTTGAAAAATAATCCCAATGCTGTCCAGTTTATTCAGCCTGAACTCTACTGCTTTGATGCTCCCTAAAAATAAAAATACAAATGTACTAGTCTAACACAGTTTAATATTGCTTTTTGGTGCATTTTCTTACTGACTTTTGTGTATCTGTATAAAGGCCAATAGAGGACAGCCATTGGAAACTAGCTTTGGCTATAAATGCTGTGGTGCAGTACTGTACGTAACACTTGGGATCCCTCCTCAGTTGCTCTTCCTGAGGATTCTTCCATTTTCCCCTGTTAAAGGACTTTATTTGGGGTTATTTGAGTTTCTCCTGTCCTGGGATAGAAGGCAGATTATTCTGTTTCTGGACTGAGTAGTTAAACTTTTGATTGTTACTGCTATGTCATTGTAATGGTGTCTTGTAAACCCATGAGGGTGGGGCACATGTAAGTGTGCATGACACAAATAAAAATCAACCAAACAATCAATAATCCAAGTCTCATTTATCCAGTTGTATGCTCAGTACTTCCCAAACAGACACCCATTTCCAACGGAGAACTACACTGACCGTGAAACTTATCCATGCTCTCTTCAAAGCCAGACTCCTTTGAAAAAACAGTTAGTTTTTTTGTCTTATTTTACTTTGGTGTTTTAAAAAGGTTAGTTCTGATTCAGTAAAGTCCCACAGTAACACAAACAAACTAACTGATCGAGGCGGTGGTAGACCAGCAGCTCCCGTGTTCAGCGAGGTAAAATTACTGTTTTTGTCAATGGAGTCTGGCTTTGAAGAGAGCATGGATACATTTCATTTTCAGTTTGGTTTTAAAGAGTAACGTTTTAGCCAAAATGCATTTGTTTTGAATGACTTGACAAATGAGACTCGGATTATACTGCACGAGTTGTGTGAGAGTACGTAAACGGATGTTTGATGTAGTTTTGCAGCTGTTAAGCATGGACCCCTCCGACTTTAATTCATCAAGATTTTTTCTGGTTTTGGATTCTTCTTTTACCAGAGGCATGCAAGAAAAACAAAGTGTTCTTCACAAATTCAGCCTAACATGGGGTGTGTAAGTAAACAAAACATCATTGGGGGGGGGGGGGGGGGAAGTATTCCTTTAAATCATAAACCTGTATATCTTTGGTAATATGTCACGTTTTTAGATGCTGGATCATGCACCGTTAACCCTGGATAGTACCATCAGTTTGATGAACACATCTGGGAAGCTCAAAGCTTGGAGTTCATCTGATATTAACACCCTAGTTGCACCATTTTTTTCAGTAAATGACAGTAAGGAGGAGTGGAATGAATGGAAACATCTCAACATTGGTCTATCTTCATAAGACTGGTTTAGAACAATGCCTGGAAATACCTAACATCAGTCATGGGTTCCAAAACAGCTTCATCAAACATGACCATTCGTTTGTGATTGCATCACCTGGCAAGGCTAAAGGGGCACTTCACCACTTAAACATGTTAAAGACTAATTAAATGATCTAAATAAAGCATCCTAATCTACAAACTGAAAACACCAACCTGCCGTGCATACTCAGTTACATTCACACTTGAAATTCTGGCTCATATGCAGTGTGATTAACAATGAGGAAAGAGTACACAGTCACTCACCATAAACAGAGAGGCAGGCGATGTCACTTCTGGTGCCATCTGGGTACGTGTGAAACTCGCAGGTGTAGCAGGCCTCGTCCTCCGTCCTGACCGCCTGAATGGTCAGCTGAGTGTCCCCCAGCGTTTGGCTCAAGCTCACCCGACCTTTGTACTGCTCCTCTATGAACTGGTGGCCGCGCTTGGCAAAGGTGGCCACCTTGGTGGTGTCACCCTGTTCAGCCGTCTTCCTCCACAGCACCTGCTGGACCTTCTCGGGGAGGCTGTACCAGCAGGACAGGGTGGCCGGCTTCCCGCTCACGGCCGTCTTGTTGCCCTCCAGGTGCACTTTACCTGTAACGAAAGAGATGCTCATGATATTAATACCAAGTCAACAGAGGTGATTGTGTGTTGGCTGTGTGTGGATTTATTTCTGCTGGCGTCAAAATGAGGAGTGCTGTAGTGTGCAGGAGCTGGGATAAAAAGAGGGTGTGTGTATGCACATTTAATAGAAACAACAGGAAGGCTAGCTGGGTGGTCTGCAGGTTCAGACTGTAGCCTACTACTTCCTGTCTCATCAGGGGTCTAGCAAGTAAAACAAACACCCTCTGTGACCCTAAATTGTCTCTGCGGCAAATAAGAACAAAGGTTCAAATGTGAGCTGCAGCACTGAAAACTGCTTATCCAAAATTCCAGACTGACCAGTGACGCTGATGCACGTCCTGCCTTCCAGCGAGCCCGTGGGGTAAACATCAAAGATGCAAAGGTAGCAGCCCTCGTCATCAGGCCGCACCCTCTTGATGGTGATGTAGCTGGCATCGTTGTTGGAGGCGGTGAGCTCCACGTTGGGTCCTTGATGGCTGATGCGGATTGGCTGGCTTTGCTCGTACGCCAGGACGACCTTCTTGTGCCTGTTGAGCCAGCGCACTTGCCGGACTGTGTTGCCTGCTTCCGTGGTGACGTTGCAGCCGAGCAGCAGGGAACGACCCACCTCTGCATTGAGACTGGCCGGAGCTATGACCTGACCTGAGTTCAGAGACCAGATTTCAGACCAGAAATAAGTAAAAGTGCAACATTCAACAACATAAGAAACTCCATTACAAGGAGCCCCAACTAGACGCTGCTTTATTGTAAGAACTCACAAGCCAGAAATAGTCGGAAACCACTGGCTCTATCTGTAACAATACACTGATATGTCTTTTAAAGTAAATCTTTCAGGTCCCTGCCTGATAAACACAGTGGGTAAAAAATACAATATTTCTTTAGAAAAGGTAATGTAGTTGAAATTTTAAGTAGCGGAAAGTATTATTAAGATCCATTCTTAAAGGAACAGTGTGTGAGATTTAGGGAGATTTAGTGGCATCTAGTGGTGAGAATGACGGATTGCAACCAGCTGAAACTTCTCCCGGTTAGAATTCCTTCAGTGTTCGTTGTTCAGGAGGTTTTTTGCGAGAGCCGAATCATCCGCAGAGGTCTCTTCCTCTCCAAAACAAACGGACCAGGTGATTTAAACCCGTAAAAACACTGAGCAAAGCAGTTTCATGTTAAAAAAATCTGTGGGTTTTTTTTTATGCTGCTAGTTGTGGAGGGGCTGCTAATGTTGGCTGCTGACACGATTCTTATTTTCAGGTGATCATACATTAAAGAAAACCTATATTATATTCTATTTCAGCCAATATCTGCCTCTAAATCCTACACAGTGGACCTTTAAGTAAATGTACTTACTTCCCACCGCTGCCAAAATAATTATTAACAGCAGAGAAACTGAACCCACTAAAGTCAGATTATTTGCTAATGTAATCCAGATCATACCTTGCGTCCTGGAAACATCCGCTCCTACTATCCAGAGCAGTAGACACAGGGGCAGGGCAGGTCCACCCATGGCACACTGAGGCTGAGTTACCAACTCACACGCTGCAGCTGCAAACACAAACACTGTCAGAGCACTCAAACAGCCTCAACCACAACCTGACCCCACAACTAGCTTGTGGTTACATAAAAATAAAGCTATCAGAGATGAAACAAGTGTGAGTGGAGAAACTGCGATGCAGACGTACCTCGTCAGCTGTCCAGTGTTGTGACTTGTTGAGCTGCTGTCAGTCAGCACAGTCGTAGCTGCATCTTACTGACACACTGTGTGCTGTAATGGGAAACATGAAGCCAGAGGATGACATGAGCAATGACAGCATCGTCTCAGTATCAGAAGAGATTACTCTTTGCTTACAAGGGAAAGAAATACACACTTTTTTGCAGCTTTGGGACATGAGTTGCCATGGTAATACAAGTGTAAGCATCAACAACAGCAGCTGCTGATTCAAGAAACATCACCTGGGGTCTACTGGAGGTTTTACATGTTAATGCACAGCATGCACACCCTGTGCAGTAAACCCACAATCATCCAGCAGCAAAACAAGCTGCCACACTTTGATGTCTAGACCGTGTCAACCTTGAGATTTCAAAATCTATACCTGAGAGCCAACCGCAAAGAAATTACAGTGGTCGGATGATGATGCAGGAAGTGATAAAGAGGGATTAGGTGATCACAACATGAGTAAGTTTGTGTGTAAGGGTGTGTGCAGACACCAGCCGAGCCCAGCACTAGGTATGTTTTGGAAAGGTGCTGCTGTAAATATCCTCTCAAGTCACTTCTCTATATCCTGGACAAAAAGGTGCAAACAGCAGGGATCAGACACAAACCCACCTTTGATCAGACTCAACCCAACCACCTAAAAAACCACAGGACAGAGCAGATCCAGACCTCAGAGCTTTATGGGCATTCTGAGCTCATTGACAGTGCCAACCATCTGGCTTCAAACATGCAGCCTGCTCCTGTTGGGCAACAGCTAAACCACTTTTCCACTACAAAACCTCAGGCTTTTAATGTGAAACACCAGCAGATGGAACCTCAGGAAGGTATACGGGTCACAGTCAGGACAGCTGAGTACTTCATGTCGGACTGAAACCAGGCTGCCAACCTGGATCCTAAAAACCAGCCCTAAATCCACATGTGCACTGGACATTTTCCCCACAGCTGGTTCAGTCTCAAGTAACAGACAGATGTTATGTGAGATTTCTTAAACAGATTGCCGAGGAAAGAAAGCATAAAACTGAACACCTTTCCCACATTTACGGTCGTTCCCCCCCCCCCCCCCACACACACACACACATAATTAAGCCATTTTTTGTGGATGTAAATCTTTCTTTGGGCAGGTTTCCTACATGGAAATAAAAATAAATTCATTAAAAAGGTACACACAGAAGAACATGACAATTTTACCCAAAAACAGAGTAGAAAAAAGTGTTTTCTACAGACAAAATACCAACTATGCTTCAGAAATGTTTATAAAAAAAAGGTGCAACAAGTAAAAATTAAGTTGCATGTTCATCAATTTAAACTTATTTTCTAGTGTAGCTCAATGATACAGGTATTTGAGTTTATTATAAGAGAGCAAAACTTCTCTCAAAGAAGTTACAAGTTTTAAAATATTCATATTTTTATAGGCAGGTCCTGAAGAGTTTTAACATTTAAAGTCAGACTAGTTTAGGTGTGTTGACATTCCTAGTTTGAGTAAGAGAGACTACAGTTACTAAAACTTCATGTTATTTAGGCTATAACTAATTTCGCTGCAACTGAAATAGAGCTTTTCACAATAAAAGACATCAAACTCACCCACTGACAAATCAAAGTCCGCTGTCTGCTGTGTTACAGGTAAAGTGAGACTGCAGCAGAGGGATCCATGCTTCCCACATTTAACCACGACTGAACTGAGCTGAGTTTCCTGCTGCCGCAAACACCCTCAACTCTTCTTCGGGTAAATTAAAGGAAAGCAGGACCTCCGGTGGCCATTTTGTGCACGTGCTGCTGAAAATCTGCAGCAGATATCCAATGCATTGAATGAAAAACATCAAATATGATTTGCTAGTTAGAGTATTGCTTCTTATAAGTCACCAGTTTCTTTTAACAGCTCATCTGTCTCTAAACCAGGGGTGTCAAACATGTGGCCCATGGGCCAGAACCGGCCGCCATAGGGTCCAATCAGGCGCACTTGAGGATGTTTTCACATGTAGTCCTTTTTAAATGAACCGAAGCCTATATATATGTATGACATAGTTTTGTTTTGACTTCGATGTGGCCCTGCAGTTTGGTTATGAAGCCACTCACTTTCATATGAACTAAACTGGAGGAAAACCTTAGTGTTTCTGTGCTGCAGACTGTTGCCATTTGATGTGTTCTGTTCCACATCTGCAGACATGCATTATCTTGCATAGACCAAACTACTCCTCGTCCTGCGTCCTTGCAAGCATTACTGGCAGACGTGGTTTAATCTGTTTTTTTTTTCAGGCCTTCCAGTGCAATAGCATGTGATCTAGACCAGGGGTCTCAAACTCAATTTAGTTCATGGGCCACATTCAGCCAAATTTGATCTCAGATGGGCCGGACCAATAAAACCATGGCACATTAAGCTATAAATACCATCAGCTCCAATATTTTACTTTTTTGTGTAAAGAATTGGAAGCACATATGTAGACATTCATCCTTTCACAAAACAGATGAACAGCCTGAGATGTCTCAAGAAAAATAAGTGCAGTTTTAATAGTGTCTGTTTCTCCACATTCAGTCAGTCTACGTCTCACTGTCATTACATGTGCATTTATCCAGACATTTCCTGATACAGATTCTTTTGAATCTGTTTCAGGAACTCATTCCCTTTATTGTTGGTTCACTTTTTGGTGCACTTAAAGAGTTGTTTAAAAAGGACTATATATGAAAACATCCTTACGGTACACCAAAAAGTGGACCAACAGCAAAGGGAATCAGATATAGACCTGGTGATTTCTTTAATACAAGACTCACACACATTCATCATTTACCTTCAGTATACATACAGGCCCCTATGGAAACCAAGAATGGCTGTGCTTACAATTATTACATTTTATTTAATAGCAGCATTATAAAAAATGGAAGAATGGCAGTTGTTTTTAGCATCCGTAGTCCCCTGTAAACATCTTTGCCATATTTCAGTTTACACAGAGAAGCAGTCATAAAATTATGTATACATCTATACATACATAACAGTGAATTACTGTAAGACTTTTACAGATGTGACAAAATATTTACATTAAAAGATCATGGCAGAGAATAATTGTGTGGCTAAATCATTTCATTTCTCCATCAAGTGTTATTGACTCAAAGTTCTTTGTGGCAGGTTGGTGCAGTGAAAAGACTTTCTAAACACTCTCATATTTTTTCAGTTATAACTATCCAGAGACATACATCACTGGACAAACACCTGTCATAAGTAAGAATCAGAGGCAACAAAACGTGTAGTGCACAGATGCCAAATCTCTCATGACATTAACACACTTGTTTTATAAACAAAACAAAAATAAATTAACAAACAGTCAGAGAATAATTATCAAATCTAAAACATTTAATCATTAGAAATGTGTTGGACATACTGCACAGAACATCAAGTGCAGAAACATATAAGTGCAAACATAGAAAATATTATGCAGAATATAACATTATGTGTGTTATTTAATACGTTAGCTTTGAATTAAGCTTTATAGCTGCATTATAGTGTGTGCTACTTTGGAATAAAATAATCACCTGACCACCTCACAGGACATTTCCTTGTTGTCATCAAAACACATCAGCTTGTATTGTGGTCATCTGCCTGTTAGATTAGTTTGAATCAAAGCTTTACTGTTGCACTGTGTTGCAGTCACTGTGACTCTGAGTTAGAGTGAAGTTACCTGCTTCAGAGCTCTACATGTGACTGTTGAAGCTTCAGGGAGCTGCTTTCTTCTAGTTCCTCTGTTTTGATTTAAAAGTCTTGTGGCTATGGTAAAAACAGCTGTCGCTGACACCCTGCTATCAGAGATGATTCTTTTGGGGAGCCGTTTTCTTTATTTTTCTCAGGAGACGTCCGTTGCCGTACATTGTTCTCTTCATTCATTAAAGGTGTTTTGGGCCTTCAGATAAAAACAAGATATTAGTCAGTTTCCAAATCACTCTGAACAACAGTGATGATAAACATGCTGACTATGAATACACAAAGGTCCATGAAGAGTACAGTGCATTGTGGTTGACTGCATAAAACACATGAGTTAGGGAGGTACAGATGAAAGTACATGTGAAAAATGAATTCAGTGACTTACTCAGTCCGTTTAGTTGTTTTTTGTGGTGTCCTGTTCTCCTCACAGTCTCTGTGTGACACATTGAAGGATTTAAGAAAAGTCAGTGCTGAACAAACATTTATTTGTGGGTTTTGTCTAAATAAATCTCAATCAGTAATTATAATATTAACTGTGAGACACTGATGTTACAACAAGGCAAGTTTAAATTTACCTGTTCTGATGTTTCCTTATAAGCAGGATGATGATGACTGCAGCAGCAACACAAACACAGGACACCACGACCAACACAGTGATCAAAGTGACATCTGTGAGAAGAGAGGAAAATTAGTAACACTCAACATTCATAAAGCAACTACAGATCAAATGGTGAGACTGACATGAGGCCACATAAAGGTTCGCTTAGTGACGCCGAGGTGTTTCTCACCATCAGCAGACGACAGTGTGACCTCAGGAATCATGGTAAACACCTCTATCTGAGGACCTGAGAGCACTCGCACTGCACATCCAACCTGTGTGCTGTTGCCATGGAGACGAGGCAGCACGGCTGTAGCGGTGACAGTGACTGTAGCGTTGGTGTTGGTGACACTGGTAGAGTTGTAGTGAGGGACAGTCAGTGTTACTGTGGGAGCAGGTTGACCTGTGGCCGAGCAGGACACAACTGCCTCTTCAGGAGAGTTTGATTCTCTGACATGTAGAACGGGTTCATGCAGCTCTGCACACACCACACATTTAAAAACATCACATCAAGTTTTTACAGGACATACTTTAAGGATGATGGAGATGTCTTTAAAAACACTGTAAAGTTCTTACCATAGAGTTGGAGGCAGGTTGAACCAATGAGAGCTCCGTCAGGGAAGGAGTTAAACAAACAGTGATAGCATCCTTCATCTTCCACCGTCACCCTCATGATAACTATGGAGCTGTTCTGCAGTCCAGCATATTTAAACTCCACTTTATCTCTAAAGTCAAGATTCACTTTCTAACCAAAGTATTCGGTGTAAGTAGCGAAATTCTACACCAAATCAGGTAAAATTTTCTGCCATGTGACTTGAAGAACATCTTTAGGTTGCATCAGCTGACAGTTTAAAAGAGCCTCTTCTCCCACTGCTGCCATCACAGTCTGCTGAGTCTCTAACACAGCTGCTAGACCTGCAGGGAGGACAGTGTCAGAGGTGAGGCAGAGGTGTGTGCCATTGTATGGTGTAAACCACTGAGTTTTTGTCCTGTGCATATGACAATAAACTTCTTACATCCTGACAGGACTCAAGGTCAAGAGCAGGTATAAACCTCCCTGCAGGGCGCACTTGTGAGCATTTAAAAAAAACATTTTTTTATTTATTTACTTTTTGCATCAGCACATATGCAGAAATACACAAATATATAAAAATAAAACAACATCAAATAAAAATAAAAGATGCGGAAGGGGTGCCCTGTTCTCCACATGAGCACCTGCCCTGTAAAACGTGTTTGCACACTGCAATGGTGTGGACCGCCGAAACTACAATGAACAACACAACAGTTACACAGCTGCGGTAAAGAGAAATAAATCACATACAGGCCTGTGCTGTATAAGATATGAGAAAGACAGATTTATGTATCACTTCCTCGTCTTTCTGAAAGACTCACACCGAACCAAGGAAATATGACTTCATGGTGTCACATCTTTACTTCTTACTGTACTGTATCTACTGTCAATATGCGGAAGTTGTCTCTATGTGCAGCAGGTTTACACAGTTTACTCTGCTACTTACCTTTCTGAATGAGTCCCAACGCACAAATTAAAAATATAACTGCATGTTGTGGCATATTTCGGCATACTGTAGCTCCCGCTCACATTTAAGTCTTTCTTGCTTTTTTTTTTTTTTTTAAAGTTTTAATGGTAGCTTTCCGGTGTTTTACCGCCACCTACTGGACCGGAGTGCGGCGGAAACAAAAAAAAGACTTCATTCTCTCTTAGTCCTGTTACTCTTAAATAGCCTAAGTAAATAGGCTAGAGGTTTATGAATATTCCTTGTTGTCTTTCTAAGTACATTCCCTAATGTTATACTGTGCTTTTCTTCAGTTAGTCCTGTTATTAACTGCTTTCCTACTTCTTCATATCTGTTGTAATCCCATTGTACATGTCAGGAGGCAGCGTGCACGTCCCCTCGATATGTGCATTTGCTCCCCCCAATGAAAACATTAAAGACTTTTATTCTGAAATAAATAAAGAAATTTCAACCATAAACTGATACATAAAAAAATCAAGTGTTTGATGCCCCAAAATTTTACTCTGGAGGACCCCAAACCCTGCTTCACATGTTTGCCCAAACATTAAAACAAAACCTAGGCCCTTGATGTCAGGGGCGTTACTTCCTCTAGATATAATCCAGGACAATGAAAAACATTAGTCACAAGTGAAACCACTCATAACAAGTAAACATCACAGTTTAATTAACCGAGCAAAAATAAATACATTTAAGTAAAGAGAATAAATTAAAACATAATGCACAGCACAAGTTAATAATACAGTGTTTGACAGATGAGTTTTCACATAATACAGTCGGCACTATACCACAGTTACAGCCATACAATGTCTCCAGACAGAGCAACAAATAAACATTGAACAAAAAAGTGCAAAACTGCAAGAAAAGTGCAACATTACTAACACACTTATATATCATGTCTATTTTGTAATATGTCTCGTATAATTTAAAGTTTATAGATAAATATACATATAGTTTGATACAGCCTAAATACAATGATCTGGATTAAAGTCATCACTGATCACTGATTGCTTCACATGTCAACTTAAAAGATCACTTAATAAATAGTTCGAATTTGTTGTGCAAACAATTTAAATCTATTGTATTCCTTGGTTAGACTTGGGCTCATCTTCCTCCTCCTTTCTCTAGTTCCTGACAAAGCACACTAGATGGCATTCTAGCCCCATACAACATTTCCTTGTCATCAAAACACATCAGTTTGTATTCTGGTAATATGAATCAAACCTTTACTATTGCACTGTGTTGCAGTCACTGTGACTCTGAGTTAGAGTGAAGTTACCTGCTTCAGAGCTCTACATGTGACTGTTGAAGCTCCAGGAAGCTGCTTTCTTCTAGTTCATTTGTTTTGGTTTAACAGTCTTGTGGCGATGGTAAAAGCTGCTGTCGCTGACACCCTGCTATCAGAGATGATTCTTTTGGGAAGCCATTTTCTTTCTTTTTCCCAGGAGACGTCTTCTTACGCACTTCGTTCTCTTGAATCATTAAAGGTATTTTAGGCCTTCAGATAAAAACAAGATATTAGTCAGTTTCCAAATCACTCTGAACAACAGTGATGATAAACAAGCTGACTATGAATACACAAAGGTCCATGAAGAGTACAGTGCATTGTGGTTGACTGCATAAAACACATGAGTTAGGGAGGTACAGATGAAAGAACAAGTGAAAAATGAATAAAGTGACTTACTAAGTAAATATAGTTGTTTTTTGTGGTGTCCTGTTCTCCTCACAGTCTCTGTGTGACACACTGAAGGATTTAAGAAAAGTCAGTGCTGAACAAACATTTATTTGTGGGTTTTGTCGAAATAGATCTCAATGAATCATTATTATATTAACTGTGAGACACTTGTGTTACAACAAGGTCAGTTTGAAATCACCTGTTCTGATGTTTCCTTATAAGCAGGATGATGATGATGACTGCAGCAGCAACACAAACACAGGACACCACGACCAACACAGTGATCAAAGTGACATCTGCGAGAAGAGAGGAAAATTAGTAACACTCAACATTCATAAAGCAACTACAGATCAAATGGTGAGACTGACATGAGGCCACATAAAGGTTCACTTAGTGACGCCGAGGTGTTTCTCACCATCAGCAGACGACAGTGTGACCTCAGGAATCATGGTAAACACCTCTATCTGAGGACCTGAGAGCACTCGCACTGCACATCCAACCTGTGTGCTGTTGCCATGGAGACGAGGCAGCACGGCTGTAGCGGTGACAGTGACTGTAGCGTTGGTGTTGGTGACACTGGTAGAGTTGTAGTGAGGGACAGTCAGTGTTACTGTGGGAGCAGGTCGACCTGTGGCCGAGCAGGACACAACTGCCTCTTCAGGAGAGTTTGATTCTCTGACATGTAGAACGGGTTCATGCAGCTCTGCACACACCACACATTTAAAAACATCACATCAAGTTTTTACAGGACAGACTTTAAGGATGATGGAGATGTCTTTAATAACACTGTAAGGTTCTTACCATAGAGTTGGAGGCAGGTTGAACCAGTGAGAGTTCCATCAGGGTAGGTGTTAAACAAACAGTGATAGCATCCTTCATCTTCCTCCGTCACCCTCCTGATAACTATGGAGCTGTTCTGCAGTCCAGCATATTTAAACTCCATTTTATCTCTAAAGTCAGGATTCACTTTCTGACCGTAGTTTTTGTGGAAAGCAGCAAGATTCTGCTCCCCCTCAGGTAAAACTTTCTGCCATGTGACTTGAAGAACATCTTTAGGTTGCATCAGCTGACAGTTTAAAAGAGCCTCTTCTCCCACTGCTGCCATCACAGTCTGCTGAGTCTCTATCACAGCTGCTAGACCTGCAGGGAGGACAGTGTCAGAGGTGAGGCAGTGTGTTCCTCTGTAGGTCAAGTATCCTGAGTGACTGCCTGCCTTCACCTGACCATAACATTGAGAGGAGCTGCTGAACACAACTGTCCACAGCAAATCAGTGGCACAAAAAATAATATAACGCATCATATTTCTTCACTTCAAATAGTCCAAAAACAAAATAATACAGGATTTAGGATAAAGGGGCGGGGCATACGTTTGTACCTGATAGGTAAACTACACCTGCGATCCCGCGTGCGCCTGTTGTTGTTGTTGTTGTCGTCGTGATATAATAGGCTACAATAGTCAGGTTTAACTCAGTGATGAAGTCTCATTTGTTAAGTATCTGTTGCTTTGCAAACTTCTATGTAAACTGTAATATTGTCATCAAACAAAGTAAAAGTATTTTCACAATTACCCGCCTAAAACACATTACACACCTGCAACAATAAGAACAGAGCCGACAGGAGTCACACAGCTGTGCTTTCAGTTTCATTAAAATAAATAACTTACAGGCTATGAAATGACTGTGTTATCTCTTTCTCACCTTTCTGAAGGAATCCCAACAAACAAAGGAGAAGGATGACTGCTCGGTGCACCATTTCTGCTGCTGGACTGGATCTACCGCCAAAAGTCTAAAGTGAAACTTACTAATGTAAGGGGCGTGTCCTTCTTCTTCTTCTCTGTGGTTTAACGGCAGTTTGCATCCTTAGCGTTGCATCACCGCCATCTTCTGGAGTTATTTGACTCCTATATTATCCAGTGCCTCATATTCTCCATATGAGTCCAGTTCTTTTTAGAAAGCACATCGGACACTTTCTGCCTTTCCCAGTCTCACCACAAGCCAGTATGTCCTTTAAGCTTGATCCTGTGAGTCCTTCTCTCCTCATCTCCTCCAGCATTTCCTTCCGTTCCTCTCTGTTTCTGGTGTCTGACAATAGTCACATAATCCATTTACATGTTGCCCTATAATGTGAAGTGTCCCATTACCATACTCTAACATCCACACAGGGGTTGCAGGCCACAATACTGTCGGGCAGAACTCCATTTCATACATCCCCCAGGTCTCTTGCTGTTTCATCTCCTGTCCATCCAAAACTTAAATTCATTGTTCTCTCCCTTTCTCAACATTGTTGTAACACTTTTCCGGTTGGGTGATTTTATTCATGTCCTCTTAGATTCATCCAATAATTAACTCTTCCTGCATAAAGACAGTGGCATTTCTGCTGCTTCAACTTGCAAGGCACACACAGGTGATGTTCTTCTTGCCCCTACACACAGCCTAAGAGCCTGAGCCTGGATCACAGCTAATACAGTTTTTGCAGCAGAACCATACACTACACTTCCATAATCCATAATCCTCCCTATCCTAAATCCACTTTGAAATCCTTCAATTAAACCATGTTTCTCTATAAAATACATCAATCTTTCATTTACCATTCTCTACCATTATTTTGCCGACACATTTTTAATTTACCATAAAAGCTAAGTTAAAAGCCCAGTCCCTTTTATCAGCCCGGTGTGGCAAAAGAAATGTGTTTGTAATTCCTGATCTTTGCTGAGCAACAGTTTTGTGTGAAAGGAATCAAAGGCCTGTTCCAAATATAGGCCTGTTGATGTCAGTGATTTAAATAATAGTGCGGGCTATTAAATGAGGTTTTACAGTAGCTGAATGTCTCTTTAACACAAGACTCACACACATTCATCATTTAGCCTCAGTGTACATACAAGCAAAGAATGTCATGCTTACAATTATGTTTTTTAAGGCCATTATAACAAAGCTCATTTTCTCAAAAATAATTAATAACTAAATCTTGATCTCGAGATAAGGGCATTAAAAAAATAACTGAAATAATGACTGTTCTCGGCTTCTAGAATAATTGTGTGGCTAAATTATATTGTTTCTTCAGTAGGTGTTATTAATTCAAAGTCCTTGGTTGGTGCAGTGAGAAGAGGAAGATTAAATCTTTCTGAACACTCATATATTTTCAGTTATGTTTTTAGAACATGGACGTCCTGGTTTCCAGACAGTTAAACATCCTCTAACTATCCAGAGACATACATCACTGGACAATAAATAAATAAGAATCAGGGGCAACAACAACATGAAGTGAACAGAAGTGAAACCACTCGTGAAACATACAGCTGTTTTATAAACAAAACAAAAATAAATTAAAATAAACAGTCAGAATAAATTATTAAATCTACAACATTAGATCATTAGAAACACCATGGACATACAGTAATGCACAGCACATCAAGTGCAGAAACATATAAACAGACAGAAGACAACAACAAAAACCATCTGACCCACATACAGTCAGCACTTTACCACAATTACAACTACATAATGTGTCCAGACAGAAAAAAAGTCAAGTGCAAAATTAAGAACACACAGAAAATATTATGCAGAAAATAACATGATGTGTGTTATTTAATATGTTAGCTGCAAATTAAACTTTATAGCTGCATACAGTTATAGTTATTTACAAATGTGCTATGTGCACGCACTTGGGCTCATGTGAATGTCTTCCTCCTCACAAAGCACACTAGATGGCGCTATAACCTCACAGGACATTTCCTTTTTCTCATTCTCGCTTGTATTCTGGTCATCTGCCTGTTAGATTAGTTTGAATCAAACCTTTACTGTTGCACTGTGTTGCAGTCACTGTGACTCTGAGTTAGAGTGAAGTTACCTGCTTCAGAGCTCTACATGTGACTGTTGAAGCTCCAGGGAGCTGCTTTCTTCTAGTTCGCTTTTTGGCGTGACAGTCTTGTGGCGCAGGTCACAACTGCTGTCACTGACACCCTGCTATCAGAGATGATTCTTTTGGGGAGCCATTTTCTTTCCTTTTCCCAGAAGACATCTTATTACGCACCTCGTTCTCTTGAATCATTAAAGGTGTTTTGGACCTTCAGATAAAAACATGATGATAGTCAGTTTCCAAATCACTCTGAACAACAGTGATGATAAACATGCTGACTATGAATACACAAAGGTCCATGAAGAGTACAGTGCATTGTGGTTGACTTAATAAATATGTTAATACATAAGTTAGGGAGGTACAGATGAAAGTGAAAAATGAATAAAGTGTCTTACTCTTCAGTGTATGTGGTTGTTCTTTGTGGTGTCCAGAGGGGTATTCCAGAAAGTATATTAAAGTATATTAACCCTGAAATGAGGGTTTTCAGTTCCAGAAAGAGAGGTAAATCAAACTCTGAGTCAATCACCATGGCAACTGAGTCTGTGAACTTAACCTGCTTGCTGGCAGGTTTTCTTCAATAAACCCTGAGTTTTTCTCTGTCTCTTCCCTCTTACATGCTGTTTCATTTCCTCATTCATTCAGTCTGTGTCAAAGCTTGTATCAAAGCGCATTCATTAGCGGAGATTTACCGTCTGTCACAGTCTAAATCCTGCTGGATATTAGTTTGTTACTCAGGACTGTCTTAAGTTACTGAATTTATGCACATCAATCATTTCTTTGGACATCAGTTTTTGTCTTAACATTCAAATATTACACAGCGAGAATTCACCCTCAGCTCAGAATCAAATCTCTGTCCTTTTTATATTTATTACTTTTTATAACACTGTGCACAAGGATCAGACTGTCAGTCTGTTAGAGCAGCTCCGAAATGTTTATTGCACATAATGTGTAGGTCTAATTATTTAAATTTAAAAAATCGGTATGAAGCTTTAGACACGTAGTATCAATGACTAATGATCTCTATCACTGATGTCATTGGTCGCACTGATGGAACATAATTCCTA